TCTCTCTCTCTCTCTCTCTCTCTCTCTCTCTCTCTCTCTCTCTCTGCCTGACCACGGCTGCCAAAATGCCCGAAGAAGAAGAAGAAGAAGAAGAAAACGAACAAGAAGAAGAAGACGAAACAAAAGAGGAGGAATAAGGGAAAAAAAAAGAACAGCAAGGAAAAAAAAAAAAAAAAAAAAAAAAAAAAAAAAAAACAGCAAAGAAGAAGAAGAGAAAAAAAAACAGCAAAAAAACAAAACAAAAAAAAAAAAGCAAAGAAGAAGAAAAAAAGATGAAGAGGAAAAAAGAAAAGAATAAGAAAAAAGAAAATGACCTGTGCAAAATTGTGAGGAGAATTCTAACGCCATATCAGTCATGAAAAAAAGGAGTAAAAAAAATCCTGCTTTTCTTTTAGTTATTTATTTATTATTTCTTTTTAACCAATTTTCGTTTTTCATTTAAAAAAGATTTGGAAATCAAGTGAAACTCAAACGGAAAAAAAATTAAGGTTGTGGGGTTTCACAAAACCTACAATCCCATATTTTTATTTTTATTTTTGCTAATTCCCCCCCCTCCAAAAAAATATCCTAAACGTCAGGCCGCAAACTTGGCCTTCTGGCCTCGGCTGCGGCCGACTTTTCCGGCTGCGGGTGTCACGTAGCACTCTAGCTTCTATACACCGACTTGCCCGGATCCCGCAGTCCGTCTCATTGATCACCCGGCACACTGCCTTGCAAAACTGCAGTTAGCTCTTAGAGACTTCCGGACTCGTTGATCGTCACAACATCTAGCCACTGCTTCCTATAAGCTAGCAAATGGGTTGAGAGAGAGATTTTTGAACGGGCTTGAGGATTTCATAGTTGCGAAGAGGGGGATAAACAACAGGAGAGAGGGGAGTGGAGGCTGAATAGAGAGAAGAGGAGATAGGGGTAATCGCCTTGGGGAAGCCATATCGGTCCGCACGAGTTTTTCGCAGCAACTAGATTACAGCGGTAGGGGATTAAACCTCGTTCCGCGATGTCGTCTGATGACCAGAAGGCTCTGAGAGGAGATCCGTAGGAACTTCCTGTACGGGGATGAAGGTGGGAAGAGGGAGTGCGCGAAGAGCACTGCAGACCGGGACCAAGGTTCAGACGGAGGAGGAGGGAGAGAAGCACGAGAGGGGAAAGGGGATGGAAAACAGTTACGGGTCAAGGGGAGAAGGCGCGAAGAAGAGAGGTGAAGATGGCATGGGCCGCAGCGGGAAGCTTACATGCATGGCGCAGGCACAGAAACGGAAAGGCACCGAAACAATTACACTCCGTTCATTCTAGCTTTGAACTAGCTCAAGATTAACAAAACTCAAAGCAATAACCACAAACCGAATAAGACAACCGAAAATCCTACGTCTATTCAAATCTCTTGAGAAATTTCACAGAGCTTTCCAGGGCGGATTTGGGGAAACTAATGTTCAAGAAAGGACACGTCAGCGGGCAGTGCATCCACGAATTTTGAAGTTCCCAACTGTCGACCAAAATTCCAAGTGCGCTTGCTAAGGCGCGTGTAATTCCAACGTAAATCCATGGATTGCTGAAAAGAAATTTGGAAAAAGTCCGAGAAAAACAAAAGTCTTAAGAGTGGGAGGGCCTTCACAGCCATTGATACCTAGCATTACCCCCCAATCTAAGAGAAGATATCCCCAAGCCGGTCAGAGATGGAAAAGATATGAAGAACTCAGGGCTTCCGAAGCCCATTCAGGTACGTCACAAGTTGCCTCATATAAATGAAGGGTGCAAGTGGGACATGGTTCCGGGGGCTGGGCCAGAAGCAGGCAGCCCCTGAATAATTGCAACTGCAACCCACTTTTCATTTCTGTCCTCTGAGACCAACAGCTTGGAAAGGTAGTGCTAGTCCAATCTGGACAGGACAGCCATTCCCGCACTTTTCTATGATCATTATAGTATTGTTATGGAACCTCCAGCACCCTTAGCACTTGTTCAGGCTGTTAAAAAAAAAACAAAAAAAAAACGAGTAGCAGCCAGCCCAAGTTCAAGCCTCCTCCCAGCACGTGCGGCTCCCCAGGAATAGATTGGAGCACTGTTCCCCCCCCAAAAAAAAGAAGAAGTTAAAGCCTCCTACTGGAGATTCTGGGGGGGGTGCTCTGCCGGACCTGCAGGTGGGCGATAACGGCAAGGAGTCAGCCGGTAGCATCAGGACCAAGCTTCTACGATGGGCCACCCGCTGTGCCTCCCCTCCGGTCCCCTTCCCCTACGACCAGAGACGTGAGGCGATAACGGCAAGGAGTTGGCCG